TGGACAAAGGACCACCAGTCAGTGGTGTGAGCTCAAAATGATTCCAGCTTATGTTTCTTGGTGACTCCAGCCAAACAAGATATCCTCTCCTCTGTGCCTTTACCACTGAGGGTCCAGGGTGGCCACCCATCAGTGCTGCCCCATTGCCTGCCCCTCTCCTGGTGCAGTGCAGGCAAACTCCTCCACAGCCTGTGCTCCACCAGAGTGTGTTCAGATCCTGCCACTGCCATCCCAGAATGTCCTACCCTCCAAACCTCAGTTTCCCAGAGGGAAGACAGCCAACCTGCAACAGCGGTATGACCAGGAGTAAGCTCCCTCCATCCACCCCATTGGGCTCCCTCCTTTAAGAAGCGTCGAGAGGGGGATGACCCTAAATCCTGGATCCGTGCATGTGCTGGGACTCTCCTCTTCTGAACAGTCTGTGGGGGTGCAGCTCTGTAGAAGCAGGGATGCCTCGCGGAGGAGGGACCTTCTGGTGAGGTGAGATTCAGCTCATAGAAAGGTGAACTTCTGGGGGAGCCCGCTACCTGAGCAGTGGGAAGCCTCCCTTCCCAGCTGTGGAGTCAGCCAAGGCAGAGCTAAGCTGAACAGCGGGTGGAGCTTCCACATTTCTGGAAAACAAAGAATTAAGGGTGGGAACCTTGGCTCATCAGGCCCATTGACCTGACCAGGAAGGCAGAGTAGGGTGGACACTGAGGGGGTCTCGGAAGCATTAGGGTCAAAGACAAACCTATGAGACTCCAGGCTTCTCACTTTCAAACTGCAAAACCTGAGGTCAGCCACCCGTCTTCTCAAAGCCTCAGGCTCCTAACCTGTGAAGTGCGTGCAGAGAGGAAGTGGGAGGCAATATGGCATTCCCTCACTCTGAACCCTGTGGGTGAGGTTGCTGATGACACTGGGTTTTCCAGCCTCAGATAGCCATCCTGGCTGCTTGTCCCAGAAAGGAAGGGATGGGCCAGAGGATTCTCAAAGCCCAAAGTGTCTTGTGTCTGAGTTGCACTTCCGGTGCCTTTAAAGGCAAAAACTGTTGGAGCGCCACTTTGCATAGCCCCGCCTACTGCTAGTGAGGTGCCTATTTCTCAAAGGGGGCCTTGAATAGTGATGGTTCTTTCCCAAGGCCGCACAGGTAAGACAACCCATGACCCATTCTGCCCTGGGGGCTGTCTAGTCTCTAGACCTCAGTCCACAATCAAGTCATGCCTATGACAGCAATGATACCACCCAGGTCCCTCTCTGGCCTGAGGCCACCTTAAGGATCCTTCCCCCAGGAAGCCTGGGAGGAGCCTCCCCATCTCAGAAGGCCGAGTTCTATGGTCCTTTGTTACCTTATTATCCAAAAAAGGCAAAATGGTTGCTTTTAAAAAATGTTTTTTCCATGAGGTGAGCTAGGGAGGCTGAGACAGGAGGATCAAAAGTTCAAGACCAGGGACTGGGGTTGGAGTGCTTGCCTACTATGTGGGAGGCCCTGGGTTCAATCCTCAGCACCACATATAAACAAAATAAAGGTATGGTGTACAACTAAAAAATACACATTAAAAAAAAAAAAAAAGTTCAAGACCAACCTCAACAATGTAGCAGGAAAAAAAAAGGGCTGGGGATGTACCATGTTCCTCAGTAGTCAAGTGCCCCTGGGTTAAATCTCCAGTACCAAAAACTAAGTCAGCTTTATTGAGGTACAGTTTGTTCTGATGCAYGTCTATACCTTGAAATCACATTTGACATGATGCTATATTTTTTTATCAAGAGCCTCTGCTCTTCTCATTATCACAGCTTGTAATTGTGAACTCACTTCTTTATTCCTGTTGATGGTTTCCCCCATTACCCTGGATTCCTAATGAGGGCAGGGGACATTTGTTTTCCAGTATACCCCCAGATCTGGGACAAGAGTTTGATTATCAGTTTGTGAATGGATGGATGGGTGGGGTACTTGTTCTGATTGACAGTTCCTCCAAGGCCAGCTTATCTCGGCAACCTCAGGTCAGGCATAGTCAGCAGCCAATAAATGTTAGTGGTCCCAAGGTGTAACTTCCTTGCAAACTCACCACCTCAACGAGCTGAACCAAGAGGGCCCTATCTCCCTAAATCCTTCTGTGGGCCTCCAAGACTGCTCAGGGTAAGGCTACTTTTACCAGCGGAAGCTGCATTGTAAAGTGACAGGCAACTCCACTCCCTTTCCTTGCTGTCAATCAGCTTTAGAAGGGGAGCAGCAGCAGTACCAAGTTGGAGGCCGGCCTGCAGCTCCAGGTGATCCCCATCCTCTACAGCTGGGCCCTAGAGGATGAGCCTTGGACTGTTATAGGCAGATATCCTCCATCCATTCCTGAATCCTAGACTTCAGTTCAGTTCCCTACCCCATCAGGCTTTCTCTGCTGTGCCCACCAAAATCTGCAGATAGCTTAAGCCAAAGCACCATACTGCAGGTAGCTGGTGCAGAACTGGATGTGACCATGTCAGTCACCAGGACAGGACTCTTCCAAGAAACTGGTGAGGGTGGTGAAGGGATGTAGCCCAGGAGCCCTCCTTTCCCACTCCTTATTACTTGAGACTTGAGCCTCCACCAGGTAAATCAATCCATCACCAGGTATAGCAGGCACTAAGCTGTCACTCCACCATCCCAGCAAAGTGGATTATAGCTCCATACCCTTTCAGAAGCATCTCACAACCCAGGGTAACCTGGCATAGTGGGGAAGGCCAGGCCAGAGATTTTTGTTCTAGCAGGAGAACCTCAATCCCCAACCTCATGCAAGGATGGCTACTTTGTCCCCAAATACCAACCCACCTTCCTGAACACCCTCAACGGCCCACACACCCAACAATACCACAAAGCCACATTAACACTTCATCTTTAAGGTGTGCACTTTTATTGAACTGGTCTCAAGTCAGTGTACAGGTAAGCCCTGGCTGCCTCCACACCTTAGCCCACTCCCAGGGAGACCAAAAGCCTTCATACATCTCAAGTTGGGGGACAAAAAGGGGGGCCACGATGGCTGACCATTCAAAATAAAACAAAATAAAAAAGTATTAAGGCGAAGATT